AAATGTGAATGACAGACTGCATTCACCGGACTGTAATAGGAGCAGCATTAGTGTTTAACATTAACGTTTGTCCTTGGGGTTAGCGGCGCTGTATTTCGCACTGGTGAACCGTAAACTCATGTTCATATTATAAAGATCAATGTACAGAGACCAGACTTAGATGGATTTCTGTTCAACCATTAACAACTAAACCAGATTTTACATTCACTGCATATTCGAGGCCACAGTGGGTTTTAAACTGGGATAAAGGGACCAGAGTAGACCAGTGTAGGGGATGTTTTTTCTGGTGGTACTCCAAAGTCTTTTGTTCAGATGTCTTTAAATGTAGTTGAGGGTTAAAGCAGACCTATTATGCAAGAGCTTTTCACCATTGTTTCCTTGACTTGAAGCTGTATTTGGAGGGATTCGTGCATGTTTGATCGCTTATTTTCAAGATGACATTTTGCCGATCAGTTTCTGTTTTCAGTGCCACCAGTATACACCCCCTGGTCTGTATTTACTTTGTTTTCAAATTTTATTTTCTTAAACAAATGAAAGAAATGAAGAAAAATCTGCAGCTGTGTGATGTGCAGCTAGCCATTAGAGGCGCAGACTCTTTTTTGTGATGATGCCACTGGGCACTGGAGTTTTCTAACGTAAAAGTCAGTGGACTTGTTTCTCTTATATCTCTTAAGTTTTTTAGATGAATATTGTGATTTAAATGTCCAAATTATTATATATGATCCGTTCATCAGAACTACTGTATATAGCAGACATAAGCACAATAGGTCTTTAAGGATCAGACAAATGTCAAAGGGCTATAAAATGAAAAAACATATATGTTTTTTAAAATGCAGAAATCTGTCCCCTGTTGGAAAAGTTACTATATGTTTTTTTGTTGGTTTTTTGACCATGTAACTTGGGGCTTTAAGCAACAACAAAAAATAGAGTAAAATAGAAGCTTTTTGCCCTGACTGCCCCGACTGTGAGGGGGCTTGCATCTCCACAAACCTGACTCCCAGGGCCTTCCCTCTCTTCTCTTCATGGAAATGTTGTTCATTTAGGAATAATTTCCACGTATGGCATAAAACTTGTCTACCTCCATGAAGAATGTATGGTTTTAACTTTCTATTTCCATGGAAGGATGCATGTGACATGACACCTCCAGAAAGTTACATGGTGTAGCTTTATGTTCTGCAGATCTTTGAATTCTACCTGATTTACTGGTTATTATGGTTTTAGACCTGTTTATGAGACTACTGTTTAAGACCTGATATAGATCTCATTTAGACCTGGTTTGGTCCTGGTTTAATTGTGTTTTAGTTCTGTCTTAGTCTTCAAACCACAATATTATATTTACTTGTTCTACAAAGTTTGCGCATCACTGCTCCTGACCCTGTCTCTTTCTCTGCTCTATTTTCTGTTCTGTTTTTGGATCAGAGGACAAAGTGTGCCTCACATGTGTTACCCACAATTCACAGTGCATACAGCTTTTCCTCTGTTTAAGTTACTTTTATTGACTTAAGATTAAAAACAAATGCAATCCTACTGATATGGCTGCACGTTATTGTAAAACATTATAATAAATATCATAAATATAAATATGAATGGTAAGTGCTGTAATATCTATAGTTTTACAATATTTTATATTTTTGACACAATATTTTCAGTTTATGTGTGCATGCCTTATTTTACATGGCACTCAATTCATCTCCAATTCAGTACTAATTAAAAAAAGCCACACATGGAACTTTTTAACCAAATAATTCACTAAAGTAAAAGCATTTCATTTTGGTTTAAAATCACTAAAAAGCAATGGGATTATTGGTTGAAAAAGTAATAAATACACTGTTTTAAACACTATACACCTTCAGTAGAGTCACTGGATGATTTCAACTCTGAAATTATCCATCTCCACCAGAGTCCTGCACGGGTCCATTTTTGGAGCCCCGCACTCTCCCCGACTAAACCAGGACTAAACCAGGACTAAACCAGGACTAATCTAGGACTGATTCCAGAACTAAACCAGGACTAAACTAGGACTAAAACAGGACTAAACCAGGACTCACTGTCGGGAGCTCGGAGTAGACTGTAAGGTGACTGCAGGCGAAAGGACTGGCGCAGGGCTCGCAAGTACACGACCCAGTGCAGGACTCTGATCTCTACTGAACTAAAGATAAAATGTAGTTGTTAACTTGAAAACTACTGCTTCATGACATCACAAGGTGGAACAGCTTTAACATATGGAACAAAATACAACTCCAGGTATGTTTCTGATGAGGAAACAACATTCTAAAATTACTTAAAGCTCATAAGAGTCATTTTGCGCAGTATAGGACCTTTAAAGTGCTTTAAAAATGGTGGTTATAAACGTGGTCGTATGAGGCTTTCTTAGATAATCATTTCAGTTTTAGCTTTAGCAAACAGAGCTATATTTGGCCGTGCTTTGTTGTTCTCTCCAGACACCATCCTTTCATGCTCAAGTAACTCTTCATTAATTATTTAGTTTGAAAACGAGTGACAGACAAAAGCCAGTTTGGTTATTTAAAATTCACTGTCTCACAGCGGTATACCTCTGTGTAATTGTAAGCGATATCTTCTTTCTATGTTTCACTTTTGTTTAGGGTTTTATTAACGCTCCAGACTGTATCTTTAAGGGTGATTTCATTGGTGGTAATACAATTTTAGTAATACAGTATTTGATAGCTGGTTGTAAACAGCAGTGAATAAATCACGTTTAAAGCTGCTGCCGTGTTCTTTGTCTCAATAAAAAATAAAGATGTCAAAATATGCAAATTCACTTAAGACTTTCGTTGCCAATTACCAATTCCCTCACAGCACAGCAATCCATACAGAATAAATATTTAAAGGCTGAGTGAAAAATAAAATAAGACAACAACAAACACAAATATGAATGCATTTATCAAAGTAATAGAAAATGACTGAAGTGAATATTGCAAAAGGGTTTCTATTGATTCACAAGGCGTCTTCACTTTGTAAAGGACTTGGGGGTTCGTCATCTGCTTCTTTCTATGGATATGTCACTGCCACCGCCTGGAATGTTCCACAGTATGACATTAAACAGCTCTGCTTTACATTTACTCAATTACAGGTGGTTTTATAGCTCGAAAATACCTAGGAAAACAGATATTCTGACTGTGAGCTGGGTCGCCTCTCCACAGATCTGACCTGTAACTTGGTCTGGTTTGGTCTCCATGAAGATAAAAAGGTTTCATTTATACTGTGAAACATTCCAGACAAAACAATAACAAGCATTTCACTGACCCTCCACTGGAAAAGTTACACAGTGCACCTTTAATGGTCCTGTATTAGACTAAATAGATTCTTGTGAGCATTAAGTCATGATAGAACGTCGTTTCCTCATCACAAACAGACCTGGAGTTGTGTTTTGTTCCACTCACACATGTTTAACACACAAATTCTGCATACTTGTGATGTCATGTGGTAATACAGGAAGTGCTCCACTGTGTTTTTAAACTCCATACACCTTCACTAGAATCATTTGGATAATTTCAGCTCTGGAATTGCCTATCTTTACTGAGCAAAAAGGGTAGCTGTTCACGTAAACTACCACTGCATGACATCACAAAGTGCAACAGAGTTTTATGAGCTTTGGAGATGTAGACAGACTAATGATGCAATTGCTCAAACAAGTGTAAATGAAACAAAACAAAACTCTGCTTATGCTTTTGATAAGATAACATTTTTAGCATGGCTTAAAGCTCAGAGTCAATTCCGTGTAAAACAGAAAAAAGCATGAATTACGATTTAACCAAAATAGCGGATTGCCACAGCGATGAGATCATAATTGGATTTTTATATCACCCAGCTGCTATTTATTATGTATCTATTGTGCAAAAGCAGAATATTGAAAGATGCCCAGTCACAGGAACATTTAAAAGTACTTTACAAACGTAACACCATTCAGTTGAGATAGTGAACTGATCGGCAGTAGCTAACAGCGTACTATTGACATCTTATGGAACGGATTTCCAATAGTGGACCCACCCACCACAGTCTGTACAAAGAACTATACATCACTGTCACTGCAGGGCCATCCTTATGAGTCTGGAAATGTTGTATTTTAACAGTGTAAATTACTGAGTTGTTTTAATCAGAAGGTTTTTCTTGTGCACAGTGTATTGTACATTTATTAACATGATTCATAATGTTTAGTATCTGGATTTGTATTGTAACCTGTTTATTTATTGACCTTTTTGAGTTGAGTTGAGGTTTTTCTAATTTGCTTCTTTACGCCCCATTTCAAGAACAATCAATTCTGCAATGTTCCGTTACACCTCAAGAAATCTTGGTTCTCTTGGCAAATAATCTAAAACTGATTTATATTCTGAGGACAATAAGGTTTACATAAGTATCGATACTCAGATACAAATTTTTCTAGTACCAAAACTAAATACTCATATCAAAAGTATTGGTACTGAAAATACCACATAAAAAGGCAAAATCAAATTTTTCCTGAATTGTCCTGAAAAATAGTTTTTCAGCTGCAACAGCAGCAGTAGTAAGACCACATGTTAATATAAAAGTAATATAAAAGTACTATTTATTTTTGTTGAAATAGTCTATGTAAAATAGTGTTTTCTGTTATCATTATTGTATAATTTACAATAATGATAACAGAAAACAGAGAGAAATCAGGATAAAAATACATACAACAGAAATATACATATGGGCTAGTACTATTATATAATATATAATAGTATGTATGTGTATGTATGTATGTATGTATGTGTATAATTGTATGTGTTTTTATCCTGATTTCTCTCAACAACAATACAAGTGTAGAGATGATAAAGTTGACTAAAAATGGTTTTGAGTTTTTCTTTAGTATCAAAATCAAGTAACAGCAGCACCTCCTCTGTGAACTATCTGTAGGAAACATTTCATCTTGTCTCGTTGAGGCTCATGTCATCTCTCCTCTGTAAAAACACTTGTATTGATTTATTTATTTCTCCTTCTGTTCTTCTGTTCTGCCTCAGGGTATCTGCGTCCGTCTGAACCCCTGGTCCTGAAGGTCTCCTCTGATTGGACAAACACCCCCCCTCCCCTCCCTGAAGACCACCATGACCCAGGAGGGGCAGGCTCTGCCCTCTCCCACCCCGCCCGAGAGCCCCTCAGAGTGGGACACAACCACCACGGGGCTCCCTAACACAGACAGAGAACCAGGAGAGAAGGATGGAGTAGAGGAGAGAGAGGAGGTGAAAGAGGAGACGAGAGAGGGAAGTGCAGACGGAGGAGAGACAGAGGACGGGACGAGAGAGAGAAGAGCAGATGTAAATTCAACGGGACAGCAGCAGAAAGAGGAGGAGGAAGAGGAGCGGGCAGAAGAAGCAGAGGGAGAGAGAGAGGAAGCTGAGGAAGAGCGAGAGGAGATGGCCCCGACTACAGAGGAAGACATGATGCAACAGAATGACAGGTCAGTGTCTTATGTCTGTACAGTGAAGCTTTAACTTTATATCACTGCTTTTTTCATACACTACTACTAGTTCTAATCACTAAGATGAACGATGAATAATGCAACGTAAAGTATGTTTGGGTGTAAAAAAAAAAAAAAAACACAATATAAATCAAAAGAATTATTATTATTGCAGTGTAGCTCTGAGTCCTCATAAACAGAGACATAATTAAAAGTGACTGTAGCAGCATTTGAGCCTGTGCCGTTTGACTACACGATCAAATCAAGTTCATTTTGACTCCTTTACAACAACATGAAGATGAACAAAGATTAACAAAGTACTTCAAATATGAAATTTAAATGAGCTTTTTTTTAGATTCACAGACGTAATTAAATAAATGTATATTAGATCTGTTTAATACATGTATGACATATCTATAGAAACAAGGAGGTGACGAACCACCGCCCAAAAAGCTACATAGTGCACCTTTAAGATAAAATATAATATTTGGGAGTCTATTACTGCCATCATGCATGTGTCCTACAGTTTAATAGATTTTAAAGGTGCATTGTGTAACTTTTCTGGCCGAGGGTCCTTCTTTTTTCTGTGGAAGTTTGACATTAAACAGATCTACTTTACATTTATTCCCTTACAGGTGATTTTATAGCTCAAAAATACCTAGAAAAACAGCCATTGTCATTGTATACGGGTCGCCTCTCCACAGATCTGACCTGTAACTTGGTCTGGTTTGGTTTCCATGAAGATAGAAAGGTTGAATATCATATTGTGAAACATTACAGACTTGCTGGAGAAAAGCATTTCACGGACCCTCCACCAGAAAAGTTACACAATGCAGCTTCAAAATCAACACGTCTTTTTGACTGATCAGAAACTCCCGTTATGTAATGATGTAATGACGATGTGAGTATAATCTAGTAACATTAACCTCCGAATGATCCAGATACTTGAATGGTTCTGAGCTCTCCCAGTGCGGTTGGGCCTGTATATAATTAGCCCTAATGCTTCACTTGTTACAATGAAAGCAGCTACAAATGAAAACGATTGCTTTGACATTTGCAGCGCCGAGAGATTCCACAGAAATTATTTTGCGCTGAGAAAATAGCCCCAGATTTGGTTAGTGGCTAAAAACATGCTTTGTGATATAATGAAAGAGTTTAGACTGTGGATATGAGGTGAGAAAATGAAATAAACAGAATAATACAGTGAATAGCAGGACTGTGCAGCATTTAAAAAATTTAGCAATATGTGATATGGCTGTTAAGAACTGCAGTATCGATATTATTGAGATATTTTTGTGTACTTCTTGACTCAGTGATTTTAGTTATAGGAAAGCAAAAAAAAAACTTTCAAACTTTCGACCATGTTATAACTGTTCCCTTATCAAAAACATGCCTGAAGAGGTTTTAGATGTCATCCATGCATGTTTGAGTAATTTAGCGACCACTCCCAGACCTATTCCTACGTCTATTCGAACTGTCCTTGCTCCTTGCTGTAAGATTCTGTTCAATGCTCCGCCCGCAAGCCTACGTCACCCATGCTCCCACACGACAGTTCTTCCCGTTGACACGAACACGGGTATTTTTAAAAACTGAGACATTTCCCTCTGTTTGTACCCATCTTTTACATGCAAATGGTAAATTCGCAAATCTTTATAAAAACTCCGGCTCGAGTGGAAATACTGGAAAACTCCGATTTGGCATTTGTCAAGTGAGATAAATGGCGCTTTAGACAGATGATGTGCCAAAAGTGCGACCAATGTTTACCTTTTGCTCTGATGATGATTATGGAGCATTCAGAGCAGCAGTCGTGTTTCTTCTGGTGCAAACACTTTTCATGTGTTTACATTTGCACACACAGCTGATGTTTCATATCCATAACTGGAGATGAATCAGAGGAGTTCAGCAATTTTGACACCTCTTTAACAGATCTGTGGAGAGGTGAGCCTGCTGAATAATGCATGTTTTTCAAGGTATTTTTGAGTAATACTTACAACTGTAATGAAATAAATGCTACAGGTTTGAATCTAATCCAGGTGCTGCCCAGAGGCTTGGTGTAGTTATGACGGCGCTCAATGGCGTATTTATGCATTTTGATGTAAACAAAAACTTTTTTGAAAATAATGCTGTGTGCACAATGTTATTTAGCAAAATGGAGTGAGGTAAATATTCGTTTCTCAACATACCTGCCTATGTGTAAATGTAGCCTAAATGTACAAAAACGTGATCCAAAACTGTACACAACAAGTTCATGAATCTGAAGCAATGTGCGGTAGTTTCATTAGGGGGATGCAGGATTGTGTTGTGATAGCGCTCTGAAGGGGGAGTGACTTAACGCTCAGAGCAAAGGAAAGGAAGACTCAAAGCATCCAAAACAAGAGTGAAACTTATAAAGCATGTTAATACTAATAATAATTAGTTTTCAGCTAATATAGCATTTTCCAAATAATAAAAGGTAATGTGGTGATCTGATCATGTTATGTGTTAGCAGTTAATACCCCATAGAAATGTAATACCCCCTCTTTAATAAAATCAGCTTTATATAACATATTTCTTTTAAAAAAAAAACAATTAATTTTGTCAGATGTTGTGCCTTGGTGTTGCTGTATACTAATACATAAAAAAAAAATGAATATCATGAATAAATTCTATATTTTTGGTCTCATACTAGTACTGAGTATGTTACAATATCGATTACTGCGATACTAATACTTTTGCAATATATTGTTCAGCCCTAGGGAATAGTCTTTTTGTTGGGTATGTCAGTTCACCGGTGCATTACAGTAGCAGTATATTCTCTTATTAAAATGAGTGGGACTGCAGTGATGTGACAGGCAGCAGTTATGAGCGCTGCTTTTGAGTCTGCACTGAATCCGACAGCACCTTTTCATCTGCCTTCAATTGTCAGAGAGACCATTCAAGCTGAAATACATCTATATATATGCACACTTCATCTCTCTGACTGTTAAAGTGAATATAAATGACACAAAGGAAATGATGCTGTGTAAAAAGGCAGAGGAGGATTCAAAGTGTTTTCTAAGGAGCCCACGTGTCATAAAGATACAGTATGGAAGTGCATTAGAATATAACTGAGAGGAATTTTGGCTATGTAAAAGATAGCCGCCAGGGCAGTAGGGAGCAAAGCAGTTCATGACCATGTTATAAGCCTCTCAGTAAATCTTGGCTGTCTATTTACATATTTGACCAGTACTGCACCCAAACATGTTTAGAAGCTCAGATTCTTCACTGTGGAGTTGACAAACAAAATGATGGTAAATGGTCACATTTTTATAGAGCGCTTTTCCACCTTCAAGGCATTCTGAGCATTTTACATCAAGGAACCACTCACCCATTCACACAGACATTCATACACCAGTGTACGCAGACACTGGGGGCGAGGTGAGTTAAGTGTAGGACCCAAGGACACAACAACAGCTCCCACAATCATCTGTGGGAGCTGGAATCGCACTGCCAACCTCTGGGTCAGTGGATCTGAGGCCCAGCCATTGATGTTTTATAGGGGTATGCATTGGCCTGAGTCTGATGATACAATACATATCATGATATCCATGTCACGATTCGATATATCCCAATACTAAAACATAGGACAATATATTGTGATTTTAATTATTTATTTATTTTTTATTATTTAATTACTTCTATTAATACAGTCAACTGCACCTTCACGAGAACACACTTGTATGAAATATAATTTATAAAAATGTTTAAATCATGAGAACAGTTAATGTAAATCATGCATTTAAAAAAAAATTGATTCAGATGCATTTTGAATCGATTAGAGAATTGTGCAATGAAGTATCAGGATATATCACTGAATCGATTTTTTCTTACATCCCTAGTGTTTTATGTGTTATGACTAACACTCAGCTCAGCTTCTGTCCCTCACAGTGACGTAAACGTGCACGCACAGTGTGGATATTCTGATGGTGGTGGTGAGGAGGTCTATCGCTGCTTTGGCTGGAATGTTCCACAGCATGGCATTAAACCTGACCAGCTTGTCTCTATTCAGTTACAGGCGTTTTCAAATGTGAACTAAACCTTCAGAAACATGTATTCCTACTGTGTGCAGGACATCAAGTCTGGGAAGTTTGCTGGAATAACTAGTCTTTTTGATAATGTCTTTAAAAACTGCCCCAGTATCTCTCACTCATGTCTTTGTATGTTGATGCAGACTGGCCAATGGCATCGGAGAGGATGAAGATGATGCAGAGGAGGACGGGGTGGCAGAGGAGCAGAGGGGAAACCTGGACACTTTCAGCTCCAACTTTGAGTCCACGGTGGAGCAGGCTGACACCGAAGTACAGGACGAAGAGGAGGAAGAAGAGGAGGAGGGGGGGGTCCCTGAGGAGCGCGACGGCCCCGAAAACCAGGACACCTTCAGCTCTGCGTTTGAACAGATCGTAGAGCAGGTGGAGACTCAAGCAGAAGATGAGGAGGAGGGAGAGGAGGAGGAAGAGCAAATTAAAGTGGACATTCTGAAGGACGGTTTTAGCTCTACGTTCGAGAGGATCATGGAGTCCGCTCTTCTCCGAGGCGGGACGTGCTACAGCAGCTTAGACTCTCTCGACGTCCTGTCTCTCACCGATGAAACGGACAGCTGCATGAGTTTCGACGCGCCCCTGACTCCGCTCATCCAGCAGAGGGCGCTAATGCAGTGTCCCGAGCCGCTGGAGCTGGAGCTGGCCACTGTGCAGGAGCAGGAGGGGGGCGCGGAGGGGGACGAGGGGAGAGAGGGGGAGGAGGAGGGGGCAGTGAGGGGGTCACCGCTAAGGACCACCATCCCGGGGAGCAGGTCAGAGTTCGTCCTGAGCCAACCGGGGAGATGGGCCATTCCCAACGGATACCACACGGATGAGGCCGGAGCGATGCTGGGAGCAATGCACAACTCTGTCAGGTAAGAACAGTGGCTATACAAACTCACTATTTACCTTATTCTACCTCGCCCACTTTTGTCTCTAAATACTCCTAAACCGCGCTTTCATGTGGCGGCACTTCCACTTAAACAGGAATCATGTCATTGGAGAATTTGAGAAAAGTTTTGCTGATTAAATGACATAAAGTTGGTTCATTTGTGTAAAATGTTCAGTTTTCGCGCACGTCAACACTTCACTGATTCTCTGGGGGGCTCTAAAACGGCTTTATAGTCCCTATTGAACTTATTTGCTGTTCAGATCAGCAGCCCCACACAAAATAATACAACTCAAATGATGATGCCGATGCCCGCAGCAACTTCTGGAACAAGGTGAAGAGTGAATCTTCTGTGCTTATCATGTCAACAATCTCTGCATTTTGAACTTTGACTTTTTCGTGCAATAATTGAAATAGATCGACTAGTAAGGATTTTTCCATGGCTGATGCTGATACTGATTTTTTAGAATGCGAAGAAACTGATCGCCTGTAAGCTCTGCCGATATTTTTGGGCTGATATTTTTGGACCAGTTAGGATCTATTTTATTATTTTGTCCAAATTATGTGATTTAAATTTACTACAAACTCACACCAAACTCCTTTTTTTTACCACAAACCTATAAGAGAGCTGTGCAGTCACATTTTGTGCAGCTATCTCTTCGTATTTAAGTGTCAATTAACGGTGCACTGTGTAACTTTTCTGAAGAGGGTCCTCCAACCTGTTTGTCTCCATGGAGATGCTAAAGCTTTGGTTTAAATTGTCCACAAGATGACATTAAACTAATCTGTCAACTATTATTCAACTACAGGTGTTATTCGTTGCTCAAAAATATCTTAAAAGGCATACATTCTTATTATGAGTGATTTCACCTCTCCACAAATCTCACTTGTAATTTGGCTTGCAAGTCTTCATGGAGATTTACAAGTTTATGTCCATACTGTGGAACATTCTGAGCACATCTCCATGGAGACAAGCAGGTGACAGACTCTCCACAGTGCATCTTTAAGTCTAAGTTTAGTTTTTTTTTATGCAGCGGATTGACCAAAACAAAATATCGACTAATGCTGGAGATTTAAGGCTGATAGCTGATACTCTAAAAAGTTCAAATATCGGTGAAATATATTGATCTCTAATAATAATTTTACTGTGGCTCATTTGTGCTGATTGAGATGACGTTGCTATTTGTGATCATTTTAATTTCATTATTATAATTTCATCATTTACATTCAATTTAATGTGAAGATGTTTACCAAATAATCATTTTAGCAACAAATTCAACCTGAAAATAACAATCTGTCACATTTACATTAAAGAGCACATATTATGCTGGGACTTGTTATAAACTATAACCAACATTATAATACAAATTACTGTAGAACTGAGAGGCCTCCCATGTAGTCATAGTATTTTAATTTTTGAAACATGGCTTCACAGCATTTATATCTACTTGTATGACCCAGAGTTGTCATTTTTTATAATCACAAACATGTACAGAGTAGTGGGCGGAGACAGGGGGAAAGTGAAAACAAGATTTTCCAAGCATTCAAGCTTCAAATGCAGGACGATACAGGAGGAAGACAATGATGAGGGAATCTCATTATAACAGCTCATTAAAGTTAATGACGCATTCACAGACTATTTGAGACCGATTATGAATACTAAGCAGAGAACGCAAGTCTTGGAGGTAGAGTAGTTTGGTTCTAAGCTTCAACTCTTTTTATTCATGTGATTTTTAAGCCATGTTATACCATTATACCATGTTGTTACCTCCTCAAAAATATCTGAAGTTGTGTTTTGTTTCATTGACACATGCTTGAGTAACTCTTTATTTCTGTCTACATCTCCAAAGCTCAAAATGCTCTGTTCCAACTTGTGATGTCATGTAGTGGCTAACTTTTACCTTTTGCTCAGTAGACATTGGTAATTCCAGAGCTGAAAGTATCTAAATGATTGCAGTGAAGGTTTGTGGAATTTAAAAACACAGTGGAGCGCTTCCTGTGTCACTACATGACATCACAAGGTGGAACAGAGCGTTTTCAGTTTGAGAGAAGAACTCAGCCTAAATATGCAGGATTGGTGTGTTAAACATGTGTGAATGAAACAAAACACAACTCCAGGTCTGTTTGTGATGAGGAAACAACATTATAACATAGAAGTTTAATTTGGGAGATTTAAGAGATGGGATATAGGTTCTTGACAAATATTCTTTAGTCTGAAGTGACTTATTCTAGTTTAACAGAGCTATACAGTTGTGGTCTTGTGTTCCATCACCAAAACAGCCATACATTGTTCTGTGCTGAAGTTAATTTTGGTAGTATGTGAAATACAATACACTTTTTTTCCTGCAAACACATTGTAATTTCACAAGTGAGTGGTTTGAAACACAAATATAGATTCTATGTGTCTGCCATGACAATGTAAACAATGCAAACCTATATACTCTGTCTTTTGTTATTTTTGGGTTAGTTTAAATTCAGACTGTACCAAGAATGTCCCCATGTGGTGCTCTGGCTCTGTAAGCTGCAGTGTGGTTGATACTGTAGATGCCTGTGCCTGGGTTTGAACAGCAGGAGGTGAGGAGAGACGGAGCTACAGAAATACGAGGGATGAGAAGGTGGCATTTGAAAAGAGAGATAAAAGCTCCTATATGTCCTCGTGTGTGGAGCTCAGACTATACAGAAACACAGCTTAAAGAGAAAGTGCGCAATTTATGTTATATACGAAGAAACAGTATCATCTTAGTATGGATATTATGCACTTGGAGATCAGATGTATGCAACTATGTGCTTCAGTTTTGGCTTAATCAACTATATAATCTATAATGTTTAAACAAATTAACTCCGTACGGATCTGAGGATAAAAAATAGTTAATTAGAGGTTGTTGGAACTGAGAAACACAATTGTAAACGAGACAATGGACGGTTGGAGTGATGCTTTTGAAGAATTGTATGTTCAGTGGATTAAAGTTTTTGAAAATTAAATGAATAGTAACGCATTGGATTTATATAGGGATTAACCCCTTTGACCACCACTAATCATTTATACACACACCGCTTTCTTACTGGGTGAAGTGTCTTGCCTAAGGACACAACAACAGATTTTGCCACAGGCTCCCCAAGTGTGGCTGCTGGTATTCCCAGTGATCCCAGTACGAGCCCCGACCTTGCTTAGGCCCTGTTTACACGTACACAGGTATTTTTAAAAACTGAGACATTTCCCGTAGTTTGTGCCCATCTTTTACACGCAAACAACAAATTCGCCTCTGAAAATGAATCTTTCTAAAAACCCTTGCTAGAGTGGTGATTCTGGAAGACTCCGGTTTGGCATTTGCGTGTAAAGTGAGATAAACGTGATAAATGAGTTTTAGGAGCTGAGGTGCCAAAAGTATAACCAGTGTTTCCTGTTTGCTCTGATGATGATGATGATGAAGCATTCAGAGCAGCAGTCGCATTTCTTCTTCACTTTTCATGTTTTTGCATTTGCACACACAGCTGATGTATCATATCCATGACCAGAGACCAATGACAGCTTTAACAGATCTGTGGAGAGGCGAGCTCGCTCAGTAATGCACGTTTTTCAAGGTATTTGTGAGTAATACTTACAACTGTAATCAGGGTAACCGCAGGGTCTTAAAAGTCTTAAAAAGGTCTTACATTTCATGTTTCTAAATTAAGGCCTTAAAAAATCTTAAATTATGTTGTCAAAGTCTTAATTTTTTTGTATACTCAACCGGGCAGTGCAGTGTTAAACGGAGGAAAAAAAACAACAACAACAAAAAAAAACAACAACATGAAGCTGAAGTTTGCCTAATCAAAGTGCACTAATGCATCTGTATTTGTCACAATGTGCGTTTGGTTTGGTAAATGTGTAGAAGCTGAATCCCACCACAAAACCGGAATGTAACCCCAGTTAGGAACTTGAAAAAAACAGGTTTAAAAATCCTACCCACTTTCTTCACTTTTTTCAGTTTTGTGTAAAGTGCCAGGGGAAGTTCTCTTAAAGAAGGTGTTCTCAAACTATGGGTGAGGGTCCAAAAAAGAGGTGCAGAGTGTTTAAGTGCAGCACAGTTTGCTTAGCTTTGTAGTAGGTAGGTCATTTTATTTGGATGCTGAAAAAGCGTGGGCACCCCTTTTCTAGATATAGTATTTGGTTGGTCTTTATTAGAATTGGATCAGGTGTTTTTCGCCCACATAATGGGTGTGGTGGTCTTAAAAAGGTCTTTAAAAAGTCTTAAATTTGGGGTAGTCAAACCTGGGGATACAATGGTAATGAAATAAATGCTACAGGTTTGAATCTAATCCAGGTGCCGCCCAGAGGCTTGGTTTAGTTAAGATGGCGCTCGATGGTGTATTTATGCGGGTTGATGTAAACCAAAACTTTTATGAAAACAATGCTTTGTGCACGATGTTTTAGCTCCTGAGATCAGGCTTTGACAAGGAGGTTTGGTCCCATAAACAAGATCCATGCCAAATATCTTCAGTAAACACAGAATAGCTTTAGTTTATGGAGTGGCATTAGCAGGGAGGCAGGCAAAACAAGTCCAGACAGTACATATATTTTAACCACGGAGAAAGACTGCAGAGGGAAAATAGTACAGCATTTCACTGGGGGTAGTTTGGATATTTTGGGAGGTGAGAATCTGCTTCTGCACAGCTGAACAGGACTGTGTATTTAGTGTGAATTCAACTCTCACACCTCACACGTAAACAGAAACAGCACCAAGTAAACAATAAGAGACTGTATTTGTTTTAATAGACTCTGAGGAGCTGTTAAATCAGTGTTACAGGGTTAACCGTGAATCAGCTCATTCCTCTGTTACTGCTGACAAAACACAATATAACAGACATGTGCAGACAAGACTTACCAAAAAAGGACAATCTTAAGCTGAAATTCAATCCATATTTTTGTGGTGTAACAGGTATGCATTGCTGCGTATGTGTAAATGAAGTTCTGGTAGGTGAAGTCTGGCTCCTTTGCTGGCATAT